AACTGATGACCTCGCGATGATTCCCAATTTTCAGCAGCATGGCTGGCGTCTGTTGTACCACTTGCCCACCCAGCAACTTCCTGCCATCTACGGTGACCACGTTCAGAGGCAGCGTGGCTGGTAGTAGCGCTATGCGATGCTGCTTGATGAACTGCATCCCCACGAAGTCTGCGTTGCTCCCTGAGTCAATCGTAATGGGGACTTCCAGGGTGAGTCCATTAGGCAGCTGGAGAGTAGCAGTGAGCTGCACCACTGGCTTGGGTGGTAAGGGGTCTGTAGGCTGCAAAAACGCTGGGGACTGCTTCACTGACTTGCCTGGCGGAGCCCCAGCATCTCTACTTCCAGCCAGGCATTCTCGTTTCCCTGAAACTGTTCTCCTTGGAACGCTTCCCCTGTTACTGTTGCTAAGGCTGCAGTGTGCTTCTGGAGCCTCTGGGGACACTCTTTAGCCATGTGCCGTGCACTGTCACAGATGTAACACTTCCTGGTCCCTCTAGGAGGCTTCGCCTTGACTGCTCCGGACGCTGAGGCTCCGGCAGCTGTCTGAGCCTTTGCACCACCCAGCTCCATTGGTTCTTCCCCCCCTGTCAGCACAGGCGAGGGGTTTGTACGTCCCAGGTCCCTGGGAGGAAAAGGAGGCGCTCTAGCTGGTGGGCGGACGTGACGCCCCTCCTCACTGTGCCAAGGGCGTTCTTCGTGGCGCACCCCTATCGTGAGTGCCCTCTGCACGACGTCTGCTAGGGTTTGAGGTCTGTCTCCCCTAGCCAGCTCATCTTTTACTGAGCCATGAAGCCCCTCCCAGAACAAGTCCCTCACTGCCAAGGAGTCCTTTTCCCAGCCCAGCACATTCAGCAATACAAAAAAGCGAGAATGGTACTGACGCACTGTAGCCTTGCCCTGCCGCAATCCATGCATCTCCTGGCGCGCCACATCAACGTCAACGGTAGATTGGAAGCAAGCGTCCATGGCTTTGATAAATTCGTCAGAGTCCCTGCGTGCAAGACCATCTTCGCGCCACAAATTGCGTAACCAGGTTCTAGCTTCCCCATGCAAATGGGACACAATAAAGCCTACTTTCTCCTCCTCATCTTTGAAGTCGTTTGAAGCAAATGCAGCGCGTATACGACGTCTGCTCTGAAATTGGGATAATGCTTCAGGTTCCCATCGAAGTGGGCTACTAAATTGCCCCCTCCGTCCGAGTCCGATTCCCTCTGATCTGGACCTGGGAACCCCTCTTTGCACGCCCGATCCCACCTGGCTTGCAGATCCTGGCATCGCGCTTCTGCGTCGGCAACCGTCTTCTGAGAGACCCGTACTGCAACGGAGAGTTCAGTGACTGCGTTTTGCAGGGTCGTTATCTGCTCCTCAGTAGTCATCTCTGCCAAACTTCGTGAGCTTTGCAAAAAAAATTTTGCGGTTTTTTGAGAGGGGACTTACTGTCAGGGCTGCCTCAAGTCTCAGCTCACAAAAGACCAACGCCTATGTCTTCTTATATACAAAAGTGTTTATTGCAGTTCATTGTTTGCTTGACATCCTAGGCGCGCAGCCCTACGTCTGCTACGCTTAGACCGCTGAAGTCCCCTCTGAATCCGTCCCTCCCCTGCACCAATTTAAGAGGCTTGCGCTGCTCCACCTCTTTCTCTCTTTCCTTTTCCGCAGGGTCCTTCTGCCCGCTGGGGTTTCGCCCCTCCTGGATTCCTCTGACGCGGAATCAGACTGCTCTTGCCCCCTCCTGCGGGCTTTGGGACCTGGCCCCTCCTCTGGGCTCCCTGTACTTCCGCGCGCCTCTACATTTGAACTGGCGCGCGCGCCCAGCCTCTAACCTTCCTTTCATCAGCTACACTACTCCCTTCACTGCTCCCCTCCCTTCCGGGAGGATGGCTTGCTCCGACCTCCCTCCCTTCCCTCCCGCCGGAGCCGCTCCCCTGACACACTGAAACTTCCACCCCCTTCGCTGCACTCTGGCGGGGAGGCTGGTCCTGACACCCAGCTGCCACTTTGGGATGCCCAGCTGGCCCCCTGCTCCTGACACGTCCCCCCTGGGGCTCCCCTGGGCTTGACCACCGGCGCCCCCTTCTGGGAATCCTCTGATTCGCTGGAAAGACTCATGGAATCTCTTGAGTCATTGTCATCCTCTTCCTCGCTGTCCTGGGATTCATCCCCATCGCTCTCCATCTCCTGCCTACCCTGTGCCTCTGTCCCAGAACCCCTGACAGACAGCTATTTTCCTTTTCTTCAAAAACTTCCTTGCCCGGCATGTTCATTTTACTCCCCCCACCCCTCCTCCCTCCCAACTCCCCCCCACGCTTTCCTTCTCCTCCCCCCCACCCGTCCTCCCTCCCTCCACCCCCCCACCCTTTCAGGAGATACATTGGTCTTTGGAGTTCCCTTTGCTTCTTGCCTGAGTCATCACAGTTACCAAGACAGGTTTTTCAACTGCTGGGTTGAGAGCTTGATTGCTCTCTGAGTGACCGGCAGTTTGTGAGGCATTGTCCTTAAGCACCTGGCAGTTCAGCAGCTCTAGTTGCATTGTCAGTTTAACTAACCAGCAGTTTGACCAATTGCAGTCTTTTGTCTGTTTAAGCACCCTTATTTCAATCAACTGGTATTGAGCCGACCTTGTGGGCAAAGATTTACTTTTCTTTGTTTGGCAAAGTTTCCTTTGTTTGGAAGAAGTTTCCCCAGCAGTGAGATATTCCCCTTAAGAGCAACCTTACCCCTCCTTTTCAGAGGGCCGCTGGTGTGGGCCTGGAATCTTATTGATTTCCTTTTCTCTTAATTTGGCTGCAGCTTCTGAGCATCTCCTTGTAAGCAGTTATTTTCAATTCTGTTTGATTACTTGGCAATGCTTTGTGCCTAGATTTGCCTATCATTTAAAAGGGGCAACTTTTATTGTAGGCAATTATCTTCTAATTCTGTCTGACTGCAGTTGGGGTTGCTTTGTGTATGGGATTGTTCCTTGGAGCCAGGTGCTAATATGTAGCTGAGCGCTGCTGCTTGAACTCTTGCTGGGTTGTGATTTAATAAATATAAATAAATACAAGTGGTGCAGTTAAGTGACGTATAGCTTGTTCATTTTGTCAGCAGTTACGCAGAGCAATTGATAATAGTAATTCCTACTCATAGCTATAAATCCATTGGCTATTAATTGAGATACTATCGATTAATAATTAATTCATCAACAGTGCTCCGAACTTTATTGATGCACAATAATTGTATACTAGCATTTAATTACAGTCAAGTTATTAATTGATTGGTGATATTAATACTAATTAAAAAATAACAACAACAATAATAAAATGAAATAATAACATAAAATAAATTTGAAAAATAAATAAATAATAATTAATAATAATAAATAATAAAAATAAAATAATAATAATAATAATAATAATAATAAATATTTAAAATATAAATAAATAAATAAATAAATGAAAATTAGATTTAAAAAAATAATAATAATAATTAGTGACGAAATAAATAGTAGGCGCATTTTACTAGTGCACAGAGCAGCTCATGGCGCCCAAGAGGAAGCGCATGGGTGCAGTACCAGCACACACTGCAGCTGTCAACCGTCGTAATAATAAACCCAAACCCATTTCGCAGTTCCTCAATGCCTTCAGATCATTCATTGTTGACTAT